TTCTTTCTTTCTTCCTTTCCCTCTGTTTCTCCTTTCCTTTCTTCCTCTTTTTCCTTTCCTTTCCCTCTTTCTTTCCTTCCTTTCTCTCTGTCTTTTTCTTTTCCTTTCTTCCTCTTTTTACTTTCCTTTCCTTCTTTCTTCCCTCTCCTCTCCTTTTTCTTCCTTTCCTTTCTTCTTCTCTCTTCCTCCTTTCCTTTTTCTTTCTTTTCCTCCTCTCCTCTCTCCATTCTTTTCCTTCTTCTCTATTTCCTTTCCCTTCCCTTCCCATCCACTAAATATCAGCCCTGCAGCCAGGCTTACATCATCCCTGCCGACCTCTGCCCCTTCCCCTAAAATGAACTTCCTTCCTTCGAAATCCTTTCATCTTGGAATCTTTGCTCTGGTGGGCTTGACAGTGTGTGGGAAACTGGATAGTATCTCCACTTTGTACCATGAAAAGTTCTTTGGCAGTTGTCATCGACCCAGCCTGTATCTCCACTATAAAACCAAGGCGAAACATGCCCACTTTAACCAGGCTTGCTTTCAGCAAGGAAAAACTAGCCAACATGGCTTGCAAACTGTGGTTTAGGACAGGAATGGACGCTTCTTCCAGAAGCCACCGCTTAGCCTGACATGGCACTCAAGGACTTTGTCTTGGAACAGCAAGATAAAAATGTAATCAATTTGCACTGTCACTGGGCGGGAATTTCTTATTTTAAAGCTCTATTTTTAATGCTCCTGGTTTGTTTTTAGGCGAGCCGGCTCCCTTAAGGGTGTCTTAATATATATATATATATATTTTAAAGGAACGATTAGAAAAGGAAACACAACAAGTCAGCCTGTCCCTTCAAACCAGGCATTTTCCACCACCGTCCCAACTTAGAAGCTGCTTTTCCCAAACTTGTGAAGCTTGGGCTTGTCGATCCTGGTTATTTTAAGGGGGATTTCACGGAGTGAGAAACCTAGACAATGGGAGGATTAATCTAGGAAGCCAGGTTAGGGGATGTCCCTGTTTATGAGACATGATATCATCGACCTAACCAAGCTTGGTCAATTTGCTTTGGTGAATACTTGGTGAATAATCTAAAATTTCCTAAGAGTAAGAACAACCAACTAGCGGAACAGAAGTTGCCTTCAGAAGTTGTGGGAGCTTCATCCCTGGAGGCTCTCAAGAAGAGACTGGACTGCCATTTGTCAGAAATGGTGTAGGGTCTCCTGCTTGGGCAGGGGGTTGGACTAGATGGCCTCCAAGTTCCTTCCAACTGTGTTTATTTTATTCTGTTCTACTCTACCCTACCCTACCCTATCCTATTCTACATTCTATTCTATTTTCTATTTTCTTCTCTTCTATTTTCTTCTATTTTATTCTATTCTACTTTCTCTTCTCTTTTCTCTTCTCTTCTCTTCTCTATTCTCTTTTATTTTTTTTCTCTTTCTTCTACTGTCTCTTCTCTTTTCTCTTCTCTATTTGCTTCTATTTTCTCTTCTATTTTCTATTTTATTCTCCTCTTTTCTCTTCTCTTCTATTTTCTCTTCTGTTCTACTTTCTTTTCTCTTCTATTTTCTATTTTAATCTCTCTTTACTTCTCTCTTCTCTTCTATTTTATCCTGTTCTGTTTTATTCTATTCTACTTTCTCTTCTACTTTGTCTTCTCTTCTATTTTCTCTTCTATTTTAATCTCTCTTCTCTTTTCTTCTCTCTTCTCTTCTCTCTTCTGTTCTATTCTATTCTATTCTATTCTACTTTCTCTTTTCTCTTTTCTTCTATCCTATCCTATCCTAAATTGGAAGAGGAGGAACAGAAGTTACGTTTAACCATCCCTGGTGCCAAGGGCAGTGCTTGGACGAGAGAAATATTTTGTCAGACATTTGGGTATCCATCTGTTACTTCGCTTGGTTGAAGCAAGGCCCCTGTGAAAAAGAAACCAGTGCAGATACGAGACGCGTACAGAAGGGCCCCCCAAAAAGATGCTTCTAAAAATACAGCCATGGAGGTTTGGAAGACGAAAAGGAGAAAACGTGATGGGTTTTTTTGGCACAGAAAGGATTTTTGGAAAGATGCCAATGCATCATCGCTCTGATGGGTGCACATCACCTCCAGCGCCGAAATGCTTTTTTGTTTTGTTGTCGTAACCGTTGCATCCAGTTTGTTTCCAAAACTGCTAAATTGCATCTTATGTGCAATCCACATTGACAACCCCCCCCCCCCAAAAAAAACCCCTCCCTTCCCTCCTGTCCCTTCATTATTTTTTAAAATTTCTTTTAAAAATAGTCCGGCCTGGTTACGATCCTAGCAAGTTTGCAACCAGCTTTCTTAAACCAGCTTCCTTCTTCGTTAAAAGTTTGAAACCATCATGGCAAAGAGGGCGTATCAAACTGTTCACGACATTTCAGGAAACAATTCCTTGCTTCAGCAGACCAAACCTCTGACCTCTGGGACAAGCCAGTTGTGTCTACAGGGTAGTCCTCAGATTACAACGGTTCATTTAGTGAATGCTCTAAGTTACGATGGCACTGAAAAAAGCGACTTATGGCCGTTTTTCACACTTACGTCCATCACAGTATCCCTATGGTCACTTTGATCCAAATTCAGACACAAAACTCACTTAAAACCTGCCCCGTTTAGCAACAGGAATTTTGGGCTCAATTATTGATCGTAAAGTCGAGGACCACCGGTATTTGACGTTAATATTTTGTAAAGTCTTTTTTCTTTCTCTCCTCCCACATTGTCAAAGAGGCTCGTTTTTCTGCTTTGCTTTTGTGACACTTAAGTTTTTTTTTTTTAAAAAAAAAGTTTTGACTTGTGCTTTTTGAGTTTATTTTCTTGGTGGCGAATGAGGGAGAAACACCTCATTTGCAAATAATTATTCTGCAACTTCCCTTAAAAGTCCACTCTTTTTAAGATCTGGAAATGCCCTCGAAGGAAAACAACAAATGCAGAAATAAAAAAATAAAAAAAAACTTTGCTGGCATTTAAAAACCAAAAAAATAAAAAAATAAAATTGACAGCTCAAAGGAAACCCAGTGGAAATATCTCCTGTAAAAAATATCTTTGCAGAAAACCGTCTTCCCTCCCACGCTGGAAAATCTGAATGCAAATTCTTTTGAAAGAAACAACAACAATGGGATGGGGAAGAGGAAAAAAATAGCCCCCACCAAAAAAGAAAAGCCCTGAGAAATTCTTATGCCCACCTGCTTTAGAAAAATTTGTTGAACGTTTCCTGAGAAGACTGGCTTTGTCCTTTATTTTTAACGTCAGTTTATCCACCTCTGTACAGTCTAGTATTTACTCAGATAACAGATAATCAGAGTTGGAAGGGACCTTGTAGGTCATCTAGTCCAACCCCCTGCCTAAGCAGGAAACCCTACACCATTTCCGATAAATGGCAGTCCAGTCTCTTCTTGAAGGTCTCAAGTGATGGCGCTCCCACAACTTCCGAGGGCAACTTCTGTTCTACTGGTTGATTGTTCTCCCTGTCAGAAAGTTTCTCCTTATTTCCAGGTTGAATCTCTCCTTGGTCAGTTTCCATCCATTATTCCTTGTCTGGCCTTCGGGTGCTTTAGAAAATAGATTGACCCCCTCCTCCTCTCTGTGGCAGCCCCTCAAATATTGGAAAACAGGTTCTCGTGTCTCCCCTGGTCCTTCTCTTCCCTAGACTAGCCAGGCCCAGTTCCTGCAACCGTCCATCGTATGTTTTAGCCTCCAGTCCCCTGATCATCCTGGTTGCTCTTCTCTGCACTTTTTCCAGCATCTCAATATCTTTTTTATAGT